GCTGAGCCTCTCTGAGGGATGGAGGCTGTCAGAGATAGCGGAGGCTCCTGGCACCATGGACGTTCTCTGACCGCCTGAGCTTCTTGCACGGACGGCGGGTCTTCTCTGCTGTGCCATCCTTGCAAGGCTTGAGGCTCTCCCAAGGATGGTCAATCTTGCTGGGAGCAGCCTCCTGAAGGGATGGCGGCTTCTGGAGAAGCTGGGCGAGCTACAGCAGGGCAGGTAGCCTCACCTCATCAGCTTCTCCAGTTCTTTCCACAACACCAGCCACATCCCAAAGAAGAGCGGCACAGATGTCCCATTGTGTGCCCAGTGCCGGATCATCACTTCCTGCCGCTCTTGGGCCACGGCCATGCAGGGACTGCAGCTGCAGGAGCTCTCCAGAGGGGTTGCGGGAGCACCTGGCCGCCGGCAAGGGGTGGCCCGAGGCCTGGAGAACCTGGGAACTGCAGGGGCTGCTCGGTTCCTCCATGGGCCTCTGGGCCTAACCCTGGGGCGCTTCCTCGTCTGCCGCCTCCATGGTTTCCAGTGGCCACCGGCCCAGCAGACAGCCACAGCGGCCAGCAGCAGGACAAGGGCAGGCATCAGGACACCACCGTCACCCATGGCTACGGCACGTCCCATGGCGACTGCACTGGCAGCAGCGGGGGCTGGCCTGGTTTATATAGGGCTGGTGTGGTGATGTCACAGTGCTGTGGCCAGCACAGCTGTGTGACATCACGGCCCTGCATCACACCAGAACTTAACCCCTTTGTGACATCACGGCCCCACCCAATTCAGGGATCACAGCCCTGGCTCATCCCTGAAGATGAACATGGCCTGGAAAAGCCTGGAAATCAGAACCGGAGCTCAGCCCCTTGCAATGAATCCTTCCCTGGAGCAAGTGGCAGCACATCAGGAAGAGTGCTGCTGCCACCTGTGTCAAGCCCCGGCTCCCAGGACGCTGCAGTGGCACCAACTTCAAACAACCACTACTCTGTGCCAGAGAAGATCCCCCAGAGACAAAGGGAGGAGAAGTTCCTCTGTCTCTGAGGAGCTCTCCTGAAATGGCTGGCGAGGACTGCAAAAGTTTTCTCATAGCAGCTCACCAACTTCTGCAGAGCCTCCGCTCTAAATAAATCTGGATATTCCAAAGAGCGCTCATGCTTGTCCCACTGCTCTGGTTTTGACTGCCATGGGGTTCCTCTCTTCCCAAGAGCTGGCACATGCTGGGTTTGGATTCAAGATGGGAATGCTGTGGTTCAGTCAGGGGTGGTTTGGTTTCTGCTGAGCAGGGCTTGCCCTCTTCAAGGACTTTGCAGTGTGCCTTGGTACAATGCGTGTTTTCCTCTGGGAAGGGAGGGGTGAGTGTTGAAGACAGAGGCAATAAATGCATTAGAAAACCTGCACTGTGTCTGTGTCCATGTTTGTCAGGGGACCATCCACATCCTGGAAGGGGATGATGTAATTTCTATTTTTAAATTTTTTTTTATTAATGGATTTAACAAGTCAATTTTTATTGTGCCTCACATTTTTGGCCACCTTCATCTCCAGCTGAGCTTTCAGTGCACCAAATTTCTTGCTGCAGTGGCAAGAAGCATCTCTGTATTCTCCTGACCTTCATTCCTTGTCCTCTACCCGTCCCATCCCACCCCAGGGAGCAGGGACCGTCCTGGGGCAGATCCAGGAGGATATCCAGGACCATCCCTGCCTGGGACGGGTGCCAAGGAGATCCAGGAGGGTTCAGTGTCCAGCTCTAAGTCCTGGGACACCCTGTGCCGTGTTCCCAACAGCCCCGATTTTCAGGAAGGAGCCACAGCAGCCTCCCTGCCATCGATGGATTTTTCTTCCTGGAATTCACTGTGGAGCTTGTTTCTGTTTTCCTGCTCCTTCCAAGCTCCTGTCAACATGGCATGGAGCTGGAAGAGGTGGAGAGGAGAAACGTTGGTAATGGGAAGACAGAGGGAAATTGCTGGGGAAAAGGGAGACACACACCCCTAACGGTGGCTGCGGAAAGCTCCACACGCTCCAGCCTGCCCCAAAACCAGGGAAGCCCTGGCTAAAATCCAGGAAAACACTGCTGAGGATCCAAGGAATCCGAGCCATGATCTGTGTGGAGAGTGTCCCTGACAGGAGGAACGTGAATGGAACCGAGCGAGGCTGGGGCAGGAGGGTCAGAGCGAGCAGAGAAGGGGGGCCCATCAACATCCTAATTTACTGCTCCAGAGAAAGAAAAATTCCCAGCTTTAATTCCAAGGAGGATAATTTAATATCTCCTTGGCACCTGCAGATCTATGACCTGAATCCAGTCATGAGTTTCCTTCAGGTCTCCACCCTCGGGACCAGTTAAACAGATAGTGGGGTTAAACTCTTTCCCACTTCTTAAATCTGGATCCTCCTGTTCCATGAGAGACTTTTAATTGTGTCCCTCACAGAATCCTTCTGGAGCAGAAATCCCAGTGTGAAATGAACGGGGACAGGGAGTGTTGGGTGAAGAACTGATTAATGTGATATGGGAATGTGCCTCGCTGGGGATCCAAGCCAGCCGAATTTCACCCAGAAAAAAAAGAGGGATTAAGTTCAAGCCTTGGGAAGCATTTGTTTAAGTTATGGCAAAGAGAAAGGGCTTATGGCAGTTAATATGTTAATCGACTCACCCCTTATAAGGTTATGTTTCTAGAATGTTCCCGGTTCTCTCCCCTGATTGGTTGTTATTTGTTGCAGTATTTTGCATATTTCTAACCCCAGTTTGTGGTTGGACCCATGCCCTCAGGCTCTGCCCTCAGACCTACCCTATATATTTTTGTGTCTGCCCGTAGTCCCAGTCTTTGCAGTTTGTCCCTATACTGCGCACGGTTTATGGGCATTGTCCCTATTTTATTTCTTATTAAACTGTTAATTTTAGGCAGATGCAAACTCCATCATACCCTTTCATTTTATTTGCGCCTCAATTCCCTGAAGTCAGAGATCCCTAAAGTTTTAAAGGTACTGGTTTTCAATGGGATAACATCCATTTAAATCCCAGAAAGAGGCACAGAGCTGGATTTGAATCCAAGTTCCGATTCAGCATGGGAATGTAGTGGACAGCACACCGATGGTTTCCATGTTGCTGAGCAGGGCTTGTCCTGTCCATGGACTTTGCAATCCCCAACTGGACAATCCAAGTCCCATGCTCTGCCAGCCAGGAGGTGACACCATCACCGTACCCCTCCTCATCCCCGTGCCCTATTTAGACAAGAATCTTCCTTCTCCTCTGCTCCAGAGGGTGCTCGAGTGCCCACAGGGAGCCCCTTCCTCGCTCCCGTGGAACTGGTGAGGGCTGGAGTGATGCAGGGCCGTGATGTCACAAAGGGGTTAAGCTCTGGTGTGCTGCAGGGCCGTGATGTCACACAGCTGTGCTGGCCACAGCACTGTGACATCACCACACCAGCCCTATATAAACCAGGCCAGCCCCCGCTGCTGCCAGTGCAGTCGCCATGGGACGTGACGTAGCCATGGGTGACGGTGGTGTCCTGATGCCTGCCCTTGTCCTGCTGCTGGCCGCTGTGGCTGTCTGCTGGGCCGGTGGCCACTGGAAACCATGGAGGCGGCAGACGAGGAAGCGCCCCAGGGTTAGGCCCAGAGGCCCATGGAGGAACCGAGCAGCCCCTGAGGCTCCCAGGTTCTCCAGGCCTCGGGCCACCCCTCGCTGGCGGCCAGGTGCTCCCGCAAGCCCTCTGGAGAGCTCCTGCAGCTGCAGTCCCTGCATGGCCGTGGCCCAAGAGCTGCAGGAAGTGATGATCCGGCACTGGGCACACAATGGGACATCTGTGCCGCTCTTCTTTGGGATGTGGCTGGCGTTGTGGAAAGAACTGGAGAAGCTGATGAGGTGAGGCTACCTGCCCTGCTGTAGCTCGCCCAGCTTCTCCAGAAGCCGCCATCCCTTCAGGAGGCTGCTCCCAGCAAGATTGGCCATCGGTGGGAGAGCCTCAAGCCTTGCAAGGATGGCTCACCAGAGAAGACCCGCCATCCGTGCAAGAAGCTCAGACTGTCAGGGAACGTCCATGGTGCCAGGAGCCTCCGCTATCTCTGACAGCCTCCATCGCTCGGAGAGGCTCAGCCAGACCTGTCAGCCTGCAGAAGGTGCAGAGCCCAGGGACAGGTCTCCCAGCTGCCTTGGACCTTGACAACATGGGCGCATCCCTGACCACTGACATGGCCAGGGAAAGCCCACAGGTCCAAGTGGGAGCCCAGCCTGATCCAGGGAGGCAGCCGATCCAGGGGAGCCATCTCAGGAGCAGGTGGAGGAGCAGCAAGTGTCCTGGAGCCAGCAGCTGCCGGACCACAGCTCCCAGGTGACGGTGCTGGACGTGCCAGCTGGCAACAGCCCGTGCCTGGTGGAGGAGACAATTCCCGAGGGAACAGGGAGTTTCCTCCATCTCCAGGAAGCTGCTCCCATACAGCCACCAAATACCAACAAGGCTTCTGTACCAGCAGGTGAGACCTGAGGAGCTGTCTGAGGCTGCCATGGGGCTCTGGAGGGGCATTCGTAGGCCAGGCCAGGGCTTCTGAGAGCAGCCTAGAAGCAGGTCAGAGCAAGGTGGCCGGCGCTGGCTGGGGCTGCTGCACATGCGGACACTTGGGGGGTTCCTGGCAGCATCAGGCCCTGTGATGGAGGCATTGTCTTCTCCTCACAGCCCGACGGCACCTGTGTTCCAACTGAGATCGTGCTGATGGAAAAGGTGGGCTTTGGCTGCCGCAGAATCATCCAGCTCCTCGACTGGTTCCAGCTGCCTGACAGCTTCGTGCTGGTGATGGAGCATCCGGAGCAATCTTGGGATCTCTTGCACATCCTGCTGGAGCAAGAGTTCCTGAGCGAGGAGGCGGCGTGCTGGCTTTTCTGGCAGGTGCTGGAGGCCGTGTGGCACTGCACCGCCTGCGGTGTCCTGCACCGGGACATCAAGCCAGAGAACCTCCTCGTCAACCCGGAGACTGGCGAGCTGAAGCTGATCGACTTCGGTTGTGGCACCTTCCTCCAGGAGCGGGCCTTCACACAGTTTGCCGGTGAGCCCAGAGCGCGGGCCCTGCTCCCAGTGCCAGGCACTGCACAGCCCCATTCCCTCCTGGGCCGCGGGGTGCGGCATTCAGCCGGCTGTTGGAGATGGTGTGCGGGTTCCTGCCCTTCGAGAACGAGCGTGACACCGTGTTGGGGCAGCTCTTCTTCCCGCAGGAGGTCTCTCCAGGTTGGTACGCGGCCTGAAGCAGGCAGGCTTTGGCAGGTGGCACCGCGCAGCCCAGCCCGGCCCTCCCGCAGCTCCTCGGGACGTCCATGTGCCCTCAAGGGCCGGCTGCAGCAGGTGGCCCGTGGCAGGCTGGGTGTGGCACGCTTGGCTGAAGGAGGGGACGCTTGTCCTGCCGTGCCGCTCTCCCGCCAAGGGCAGCTCCCAGCACACGCAGCGTGGCCCGGCTTCTGCAGGCGCCGGGAGCAGCTGGGCAGGAGCCTTCTGCAAGTGAGCGCCGCTTTCTGCCTTCTCTCCCCAGAGTGCCAACATCTGATCCGCTGGTGTTTGTCCAAGCACCCCATGGACCGGCCGGTGCTGGAGCAGATCTTCTACCACCCTTGGGTGTTGGGCGGGCATTTCTGATGCCTTGGCGCAGCCTCTGCAGCACCCAGTTCCCGTGTCCCACGCAGGACTGAGGGCCCAGGAAATAAAACAACCCAAAACCCACTGCGGGCCTGGAAGTCTGGTCCTGGTTAGCAACTTCAGCTAAGGGAACCTCTTGGCAAAAGGGGTAATCAGAGTGTTCTCTTCAGCCTTTGTCAAGATTTTGGTGCCTTTCCTCCAGGTTGTCCCTCAAAATCAGAGGGGGGTGGAGCCTGCACCAGTCCCCCCAAACCGGTGGGAGGCAGAGACTACTCCCAGGCCCCTCAAAACTGGAGGAGGATGGAGACGATCCCCGGGCCCCCCAAAATGAAGGGAGATAAATACCTGGCAACCCAAAATAAGTGATGGATGTAGCCCAGAGCATCCCCCAAGTCAGAGGGGGAAGGGGAGACTGCCAGCCCCCCCAAAGAGGAGGGGAATTGTGCCTGTGCCAGCCCCACAAATTGCAAGGGGACAGAGAACACCCCTGGCCTGGCAAAGGACAAAGAGCAGCCGGGGGCTGCCAGGATGGTGACAACACTGGCACCCCCCAAATCAGAGTGGGACAAAGAGCCCGCACAGGCTTCCCAGAAGCAGAAAGGGGGCAGCAAATATCCCCTGTCCCCCTAAGTCGGAGGGGCACAGACACAAAAGGCCCCACAAAAAGAGCATGAGGAACCAAGAGCACTGCTGGCCCCACAAGGGTAAGGAGGATGGAGAAACTCCCCATCTGTCTTTGTTTTGGAAGACAGGTGTCAGCTAGGGAGGGCAGGGGCCTCCCCTGGAATGAAAATGTAGACCCCCTCCCTCTGAATTATTATAATT